CAGGAGGCAGTCTTCGATCCGCCTCTGATCATGACGACTCTGCCGCCATATCTGTTGAGTATAATGTGTGTCAGTAAACCCCGGGAAATCCACTTGCGTGTCGAGCCGAGCGCAAAACAAGATAGATTGGACGGTGAAAAGCAAAATGATGAAACAGCTGCTGCTGATCAAAGCTAATCTAAAATTTCCGGAACATTTCCCCACTGGGAATACGAGTCGTGTCACTGCAAGAATTTTTCCCATCTGAGATGAAAACACAAAAAATCCGCGAATACAGGGAGATCCAGGATGTTCTTCTTTCCTTTCATTTGCGACCGGTATAAGTGAGGTACAGCACTGTCCTGGTGCAATTCACAACTGGCAACAGTTTCATGCAAATATGCAAATATTACAAATAATGCATAAGTGAAAACATATTTTTGATGACATTTTAGAGAATGAGAAAGTAGAGAGTCCGAGAAAATCAAGGAATTCAGAAAATCCATTCGAAATTTAAGTCCGCGAAAACTCGACGAATTTACCGGTCCACCAACAACCGGACAATAAAAACCTCCTCAAAACACTCTCTCTCCCTTCCCTCGCCGCTTTTCGGACTCGATGCAACATCATGAAAAATAACGTTAATTCAAGAAAAAAAAAAAATACAAATATAAAAAATGAGAGGTAAAGGCGAGGTAACTGAGTGGTTAAAATGGTCCCGCTTTTCAGCGGGTGAAAATCCAGCTGCTGGAACTTCTCTACGAAAATCGATCACTTCAATTCCACGGTATAAAGCAGTTTTCGGGGAGCAGGATCTGAAGGATCTTACCAGGAGTACAGATTGACTTAAGTACCCATAAGAGATAACTATGGGATACCGAGTCGAAGGCCTTTTGGATGTCGACCCAGGCCATACTGAGGGGTTTTTTGTTTTGCGACAATGTGTCCAGCACCACTGCCCGGTCTAGCACGTGAGTATGAGTGCAGTTCCACTCCCCTTTACGCATTGCTCTCTGGTTGAACATGACTGCCTCGGGCATACTTCCTCAGGCAGTCTCCAGAAATTCAGAAAAGAACAGCTACTGATAAAAATGGCATTCTAGTGAGCTATGCAACCCCTTTTCCCCGTTTGAAATGTGAAGGATAATGAAAATTCTGAGACGGGGATAAAGTGAAAAGAATATAATTTACAAAGTGATCATCTGTATGTACAAATGAAATACAAAAACCAGGCCTATTTTCCTACTTTTAACAACACGAATTAGCTTGCAAAGTTTCTGATTTTTTTGAAACCATCAAAGATTTAGGTTCGAAACTGAATGACACTTTAACAGTTTTCATTAATCATCAAAATCCGATTCTGCTCCTCTCAACGGTGGGCCAATAACGCCAAACGAACTGCGCATTTTAACGCATAGAAAATTTCAGGTCCCCGTCTTCTTGAAAACTCCTGGCCAGGGATATTCACTGTTTGTATCTTTAAAATTTCTACAGCACATTTAACAAACTGTATTCAATGTAACGTGACTTAAAAACGAACAGATTGACCAACAGGCGATGCAGTACTAGTCAAAAAGAATCTCTGGAAGAGTTGCCAGCTGCACAACTGGAGAACCAGTGCCATGACCATCTATAGCTAATCCCTCTGGCAGCTATCAGTGTTAGTCATTGTGACAGGAAAAAATGCAGATCCTGGACATTATTGGATCATGCCATGCAGAATCGCTAAAATTGGGATTTCCTAGGTCGGTCATCAGTGACTTTGGAGATGTCATCGATAATAACTAACCTATCATTTTTGGTTTCTTTGGATAGTCCATTGTTTTTAAGGTTACGATTCGGTCTTTTATAACGGCGCCGTAGTTTATCATTTCATTTCCAGACTCCTTCTAGCGCTAGTCACTAAAGTTACTGTGAAATCAAGTTTTTTGTGCACCATACAAAAGTGAGGTTCTACAGCAATGCCTACAAACCGGGATACAGCATGTGGTACTGGAGAGGATATCGTATGTGTACAGGGTTCCGACGATCAACGCCGAGCCAAGGAACCATCCACTGCTACCGCAACCGGCACACTTCCATTCGGCATGCATACACGTGATACATATTGCATGCAAATAGCCAACCCTGCAAAACAAGCACTACTAATACACATATACATAAATCAGTTCAGCCATACACATACTCGAACATTTGAGCGACTCTGTTGTCGCTCCATCAACGATGCAACTGGCAATTTCTCCATTCAACTCGTTGTCGGTGGCGCTCTCCGAAACAAATTCGAGTCAGAGCTTAAGTCAAAAGCCCATCCAATGATACTCGGATTGGAATGAGGCGCGGAAGCACTCGGAAGTAGTCCGATGTGGTAGTAAATGCCAGCAGCAATCACCCACTGGCATCTTCCCCACTATCATTCACTAACAAATTCTATCCTTCCAGTCTTAAAACATATGGAATTTAGCCGTGATGAATTTCTTTTATACCTACGGCCGCAAATTACCACCTCACAACTCCGACCTCC